GTTTAGCTAGACTGCTTCCATGGTAGTGAATGTTTTACAAGGAGAAGGAATGCTTTGTGAAAAACTCGCCAGTTTCCTTACATCTGATTTTATCACGTTATCAAATATGGATGTATAGGATCACGAAGAATATGCTATTAGAAGAGTTAGTGCAAAATCATTTAGTAAGCCTTCCCTGTCATTCTGTGGAGTGATATTTTGTCCTGTGTTCTTAGTATCAACTGGGATCAAAAACTGTGTTTTCATACAAAGTGTAATGCTGAATCAAGCTTTAGAATCAGACCTTTGAGTTGTAGGTATCTTCTGTTTAAAGAAACTCCTTAAGCTGCCTGTCAGTGTGTGCCAACTTGTAAGAAATAAGGATGGAATAAGAGGATTATGACAAGATAAGACAAAATGTAATCACCACCTTGAAATTGCCCTCTCTCCATCACTGACCAGACTGTCTCATAACCAAATTCTGCTATATGAGATTATTAAATATAAAAATTGCTCTGACCGTTATTCATGCTGGCAGCATGTGATCTGTCTGCTGGTCTCCACTGGCAGTACATCTAACTGGCTGGAACGAGAAGACTTGAGCTTAGTATAGCTTTGGCATACTGAAAACTAGACTTCCAACTCACACAGGAAGCTTGGTTTGTAAAACTGTGTGTATTGTTAGGAAATCCATAAAGTTTCTTCCCTGTTTGGAAGGACTGGTAATGTGTTTCCAGATCCTACAACAGCAAGACACCTGTCATGAGGTTATACCAGCTATCACACCTACAAGTTATTGAGAACAGGAAGCTTCCCCCCTTTGTTTTCACCCATCTCCAAAGGATCATTCTTGTACTATTTATAACTATAAACTGATTTAAAGTTAATTTGTAAGAGAGCATTTAATAGTATGCTTTGCATATGTTTTCTCAAAAGCAGTATTGGTCGTTATGAAGGTGCTACTGTGGTACGTGACAGAAACTGAAAGTAGGATTAAAAAGAAAGCAATTTGCAGTAACATTAACCAAGCTGAATGCAAAGCCTATCTCTTATTCAGGAAGTATGTTCAGTAAGCAGCAGAAGTTGCCTGGTGTGGTGATTGATTGTGATCGCTTTGTTCAGCCCTTACAGTGAGAATGTTGTAAAATGCTCTGTGTAAGTGTGTGTGCATATTATACAGGATTTTTCTGGCATACATTTTCAAATGAACACATATTGCCCAGAAGAAAAAACGAGTATGAATGAATACTTATCTTTATTCCTGTCTAGTTGTATGCTAACAATGTAAAGAAATCATTTTATACAGCATATGTTTTATAGGTATTTCTAAAACTGTGAAAGAGTTGTCTTCAGGAGCACTAAGGTGTAAGCATCAAATAGTAGCTTTTATGTCAAGTATTTAGCGTTTCAAAGTTTCCCTAAAACTTTCACTCTTTAGTCTCCTAAATTTTACCTTCTTAGATTTTGTTTGTCCACAGCAGCCCAAAGGCTTATTAATACTAAACCAGGAACATAATTTTTCTGTTCCTATGGGCTGTCTTTTGTAGTGGCTAGAATTGGGACTTTATTGTTGGTAGAAGCCACTTTGGTGTTCCATGTATTTGGAAGTATGATGGTCATTAATGGCATATGGCCCTTGGGCGATGACTGATGTAAGGTGAGGCTCAACCTGTCACTCATCTCCTAGCTGTTCACGTATACCAAACAGGCTGTGAAGCAATTTACACAATAGCAAAGAGCAATGAGAAAAGGAGAATCTGTCTCCCATCCTGAATTAAGTACAAAGGCACTTTCCCCCCTTCCTGTATCCATCCCAGGCCATCCCGTGCACACCTGAGTATGGGACAGCCACAGACCTTGTCCTTACGCTCTCATCTGGGGGTGCAACGTCCTGTTTTTCAAGCTGCCTACAAGTGGTGATAGTTTCCCCGTCTGGAAACTGCTGAGTTTGTCCTGTATTAGGCAAGACTGGTTGCCTACTGTGCGTTAAGCCCAACTTCCGTTCATGACTCCTTTCGAAAGACATTTTTGCTTTAGTACCAGGAGGTGTGGAGGTGTGACCAGCGGAGGCACATCCAGCTTTAATTTACCATAAGCTCACAGAAGAGTTGGGTGAATTTTTCTCAAGGATTAAGAGCATTGAAATTGCTTGGTCCACAGGGTAAAAAGACTTCAGGATATAATGTTCTTAATTGTTTTTAGAAAGGGGAAATTGAACTTCAAAATGTTTAAAAGGAAGCAAGACTTTTAAGTGATTCTAAATCACTGGGGTGCTTTACAGAATAATTTCACTGTAATTTGAATTTTAATTGCTTGCCCCTTCCTCCTATTGTCAGGATACTTTCATCCCCTCTGTTTTCCTGGAAAAGAGTGTTGTTATTCCTGCTTATTTTAAGAAATCCACTGGAATTTGTCCTGCAGTGTAGCAAAATTTCAGGGTTGGATATGTTTTAATATTCTGTATTATGAGTATTTTGTTATATCTTTGTAATTAAAAAATGATGTTTTAATGACCGCTCTCCTATAAACCCTGGACTGCTGCATTTCCAGCATAAGAAGCTGAGGGCAGACAACGCCAGGTGCAGCCGGAATATTGCTGCAGCCCCACAACATATCATTTTTTTAACATTATTCAAATTAGTCTCAACACTCATAACTCTGTTGTTTCCTTTATTGCTGTTGTAAAGCAAATGGTTCTTTTATACAAATGTTACCTCCTGGCTATTAATTCAGCAGTTATTTTGGATTATGGCACTCCTGGTAAATTTAGGAATGTAAAACCTCATAAATATTTAAAAGTTTCAGACTGACATGGGAAGAAATTGTTTTTGACTTGCTTTGTTGATATCCTGTTGTTCAGTTTGCAATAGATTTGGAATATATTGTTATTTCTCCACTGTTTGACAAAGGGAAAAACAATTGTAGTTGAGCAACTGCTTCAAGCATTCTCCTTGAATTGTAACAGGCTGGTAAAAGTGTTGTTTCCAGTAAAAAATAACAAGAAAAATATCTGTTTTCCTTTTAGAGGACAAAAAATGTGAAAATTTTAAGCAGAGCCCACTTCAAAGTTAATGAAAGTGCAGCAGTAGATTTGTAAATATAGCTTCGATTAAACAATTTCAAGTAGATCTACTTACAATCTGTTTCAGCATCTTTGTTATTTAAACTTCTCTCTAAGAAACAAACGAGTAAGATGGACAAATGTGTTTCTTCCCTCAAAGACATTTTATAGAGAGTGCATTTACTATGCAATGCGTGTATTCGTAGACTAAATATTAGTATGCATCTCGAGCATCCCCCGAAGGTCTGAAGAATAACTGAATGATAAAAAAGTCATAATTTTTGTAAGACCGCTAAAGTCTGGACTGCACAGTCTCTGGGCCAGCGTTCCTATTTCACAGCTAACTGTATTTTCTTTCTTTCTTTACCTTAGAAGTAAATACATAGCTTGTCAGCCAGATCTTAAAGGGTGTTAAGGTGTAGCTCCTCTTGGGATCATCTAGAAGTATTTCTAATGTTTCAGTAATTATTCAAAAAAAGATGCTGAATTGGTTCAACCTGGATAAGTACACTAGCAGACAAAGTAAGTCTGCAGTTAACAGAGCTTACACCTCTGTCTGCATGCTCCAGAGGTTCTTCAGCTGAGTCCTGGGATGACACTTGACTTGATGAGTTTGTTGTATTTCCTATGTCAGTTCACCTCACTGGCATAACGCCATGACTTTTTGTGGTATTGGCATGCTTTGCTGGGTGCTGAATCAAAAAGACTTTAGCTAGCAAACAAGTTAACACTGCAACGTTAATACTATTTTATGGCAGGTTTACACTATCCTCTCTTACATGGTATAGCTAAACCAGCTTAATCTCTGCATAAAGTAATTATTGAGGTGGCACTTTCCTTTTGGCTAGGAAAAGGTTTGTACATGTCAGCAACTTGTTGTAGTTAGGGTGCAGTATTTCAAAACACAAGTTTTCAAAAAGGAAACCCTAAGGTGGTCACACAGAGGCTGTGACTGTGAAGGTGAACTTACAGTTGCACACACCAATCGTCATTTTATGTGAGTGAGTAGCTGGATGTGCCACACCAGCTGAGGCCATGCGATTTTAGCTAACTCAGCATGGTCCAGCTCATGGCCTGCAGGCTGGATCCAGCCCCTTTGTGAGGTTTCTACCTGACCCATCGCCTTCTCGCTGCAGAGACAGGGAACAGATGCTCCTTCAGCAAATGCAGCCTCCTCCACCTGCCCTCTCTGGGGAGATGAGTGGCAAGTCGGAAGGGGCGTACAGCAGGGCAGACAAGTCTGTGGTGGTCATCAGCACCCCTGCCTGGCTCCCACAGCTGCTGCCACTGGGCCAGCCACAGCACGTCTGTGTGCACAGCTGTATGCATCAGCCAGTCCTGCACACTCATGCGCATGTTTCTGTGTGCGTGAAAAGCTTCTTCCTCTCACAAACAGAACAAAAGTCTGCTGTTGCACGAACAGAGGAAAATGTAAGGCTTGTCTTTTGTTAATTGACTTACTATATAATCAGCATGTTGAAAATTATTTTTGTTTTACTTTGAAAAGTTCTGCTAGACATTTCTTGTATTACTCTTTCTGGGTTATATGAACGTGCTAGTGAACAGTATAAAGCAAAGGGCACTTGTATGTTTATGAACATAAAGACATTTGGATGAAGAAATTCTGCAGAGCGGTATATTTACTTTGCATTTCTGAATGGTAGCAATTAAAATTCCTGGCTGCTGGCTGTCCAGATGTTTCTTGTATTACGGCATTGTAATTTGCATCAGAATATATTGTGTTACTGCAGTAGCTGTAAAGTGGTCAGCTCTCACAGTCTAAATGCTATACACAGGCTCCAGTTGGGATGGTGAGTACATTTTCTGCTCATACCAGGTTCTTCTCTTTCTCACTGTTTCCCTGCTCCGTTAGCTTGACATGTTTGTATTTTTAAGATGACACAGAAGAAAAGACCCAAGTTTTGAATCAGAAGTTTCCCTTTCCCTTTGGCATTTTCAGGCAGCAAACATCCCTCTGGTGTCAGAGCTTGGCATTGACGATATCCATTTTGACGACTTCTCGCTTGATGTGGATGCCATGATTACTGCAGCCCTGCGGATGTTCATGGAACTTGGAATGGTTCAGAAATTTAAAATTGACTACGAGGTAACCATCTGTGCTGGAGAGATATCTGCTGCTTTTGTCTTGGCACTGCTCTGTCCATTTGTACACATTTAGGAGCCCTAATACAATTTGTACTTTTCATTTCAGACACTGTGTAGGTGGCTTTTGACGGTTAGGAAGAATTACCGAATGGTTTTGTATCACAACTGGAGGCATGCTTTCAACGTCTGCCAGCTAATGTTTGCCATGTTAACTGTAAGTATCCAGCTACAGACACAATCCCGCAAGAGCTTTTACTGCCACATTGCCTTACCTGTCTAAACATTTTCCAATATTTGATTTCTTTTCTAGTTATTATGATACTTATTCATTTCCAATAGAAATGCACACGGAATTAGGTTATTCAACTTAAAGCAGCACATATTTGGCAATATCCTATAGTGTTCTAGTGACAGTGATATCACAGGCACATTAAAGTGACTGAAAACAGATGGCAGTCTTGGAGTGAGATTGTTATTATAGATCTTGATCTTACAAAAATGTTTTTTGCTTGGAACTCTTTGATTTGTCATTTATTTTAGACTCTTAAATTGGGAAGTACAAAACCAAGGAAGATTAGAATCCCCGAAGTTTTTATTACATTGATATTTATTTCCTTCTTACCCAGCTTCATCTAAATAGTTGTAGAAGGTATTGCCTTAAAACATTTTAAGATTATCTTCCAAAATAATGATCTAAGTGAATCTTGTGTCTCCACTGGACACACTAACACTTCTGGGTTTTATTAACGTGTATCTCCATCAGTACCAGTAACTCCTCCCAGCACACAAGTAAATTCTGTTGAAAGTATCACTGCTTTTACTCGCTCTCTCTCCCTACCCCACAGCAACTTCACTACATGAAATAGTCTGTGTTTGGTTAGTTAATTCTTGTCAATGTATCAATAAAAGCTTGGTAGTCCTGGATGTTTAATATTCTGGTTAATATGGCAAAAGATAAGCAACATGTCTGTGTGCACACAACACTTTCTGCTGTACTTTGCTTTTTGGGTTTGCCTTATCTCCAGATAAAAAGCAGAATTCAAGTTTTTCCGTTTTTTCTTCATGTTCAGTTTTAATGGCCAGTCATCTACTGTGAACCTTAAAGTGGTCATGTTAATAGCATTTGTGCAAGTATTTATTTATCTGGGGTATCATGTACTTGTTCCCTGAGTTTTAATTGCTGAATGTTTATGTTCTCATTGCTGGCCGGTCTCTGCGGCATGGTTAGCATCTGGACCTGTCCGTGGAGGTGGAGATGCCACAGCCTGTGCCCCTTGCAGCGCGGGTCAGCGTCACGTTACGTGGGCTTGTGACAGTCCATGGCCTGTTGCCTGCTCACAGGGTGCAGCTCTCTTGCACATGGGTCCCCAGCTGTCCTCCTCCGGTTGGCATTGTCTCTGTGCTGTCCTTCTCCAGTTGGCATTGTTGTCTCTGTGCCAGAACTTTGCGTGTCCAGCGAGAAAAAAGAGTTTGACATCCCCTAGCAGGCTGACGTTGGTCTAGTACTAGGGCTGCCCCTGCTCTGTGGGTGGGTTTCTGTGGGCATTTATGGGGCCGTAGCAAAGTTGTACCGTGAGACAAAGGAAATGGAGATGATCAACAAGAGAGAAATGTCACGTCTTTCTCTTCTGGGCATGGGGCTGTTCAGCTGGGCAGAGCTGGCATTGTTTCAGCAGGGCTTTCTGATGATCTCTCATGAAATCTCGTGGTAAAGTGTGGGTATCAGTGGTTTTTAAAGTTTCATAAACTTGACATGCTCTTTTGTTCAGTCATAGAAAAATAAAAACCTTTTTACTGTGAGGAGCAAGCGCGAGGTCAGGCAGCACCGTTCAGCTGGGCTTTGCATTCATTTCTGCCAGAGGCTGCGGGGTGAGGCTCCCAGCCCCCCGTGCAGACCCCTCGGCAGAGCTCTGAGGCCGGGGTTGGGCCTGGTGGGCGTTTGGAGGGACGGCAGCCAGCACGGAGAAGGCAGATCCCCACTGCTTCAACAGCCACCAGCAAGCCTGGGAGGCCTCAGCCATAAACCGCTTTGACTGTGGTTCCCAAAGCATAATTTCAGGGTCCTTTGAGCAGTGAGCACAGGGACACATCTGTCTGTGGGAGGTGATCTGGGGTTTTGAGCCAAGCTCATTCCATTGCCCACACCCCAGGTAATAAACCAAACGAGCAGTTCCACATGCAGGGCTGGACGCGTGTGCCCACACACTGGACTCACCACGCATCCCACCCCGCTCCGCTCCGGCTCTAGCTGAGAGCAGAGTAAGTTCAGGTGTGTGATCCTCTTGGGCTGCTCTCCCCTCCAGAGACGGGAAGACTGATCTTATGAGAAAAGACACAAAAGAGAGAGTCAAGAGACTCGGTAATAGCACAAGGCTTGCTCTTACTGCATTTGTCTTGGGGGAACCATCCGAGTTAGCACATGCCTTGTTTTTCCCTTACAAAAAGGAGAAAATTCTTTGACCACCAGAGAGGGGCACTGCTTTGTGCAGTTGTTGCACCCTATCCCTGATTTCTCCATGACGGTCAGCACTATTGACTGCACCACAAATAGGAACCGATAGGTCTATTTTAGGGTGTTTTCAGGTAGGACTTACCGTAGCATAGTAATGTCTAATCTGCAACGCGATAGCCTCTCATGGCCCGACCAAGCGCCCACTGAATGCAAAAGGAAAATTCAGCTGGGTTGAACAAGCCAAACGACAGAAATCCGACAAAGCTTAAACCAATTGTTTCACTCCTGGGTCACCCTTCTGCCTATCTACGGTATGTTCCTGTATATCTGAGTGTGTATTTTCTCTCTCTGGTGGGACACTGAACAATTATAAGCTCAGTCCTGCAAGCCTTGCTTCTGTATTTCAGACTCGCCCAAATATACTGAAGACAAGCACTGAAGCAAGACTGCTCCTGCAAGTTAAGGATGTCATGTGAGAGCAAACCGCAGGATCAAGCCCAGGCTTCATTATCAGTGCCTTTGCCTAACACAGTTCACATTGATACTTATTTCAAAATGTAAAAATGAACAAGTAAACAATACAAAATTAAAATCCCATCTGGTGTGCTAATAACAAAACACATAAATGTGGGACAAGGTATAATGAATGCAATTCATTTCCTCACATGAAAGAATGACCTCCATAACTCACTGGAGACTCTGCCATTCATGAGTTATGGGTCATTCCTTTTCTGGTGAAAATAAATTTTACTGCACCGTCATCTATAGCCATGTATTTTTTCTCTCTGTGTAAATTAAAAAATGGGGAAATGAAATCCTCTTTTTTCTTGCATTATATTCAAAAGAGATATCCCCTTACCGTAACATTGTTTTAAATTAGATGTTTTTTATTAAGTGAAAGATGCTATATTTCTCTCATATATATATATTTTAATTACATAAAATGTTGCATTTATTTTTGAGATATTGCTACTGTTAATAAATTCCTTAATCAGCTTTTCTGCATTTGCAATACAGGTTGAATCTTTGAGTTTAATCAAAGCATGTGCTATGCTACAGAATATTTACTACAGCATCAATTTTATATTATAGAACTTCTGTTTGAAGTTGTTTTAACTTAGCCATGAACATTTTCTCTAGATTGAAACTTGACACATGGCATGTTGTCAGTTACAAACCTATTTTTAAATCCCTTTTTTAAAAATACACCTAGGTTATTATTTGTTATGTAAGAGCAATGTTTAAAAAGAAAAAACACAAATTTTTAGAGAATTTCCTCTGCCTGGGTAGCTGTTACTGAAACTAAAAATAGCCATGCCACTAGAAATCAGGAGAATCTCTCATAATATTCAAGTCACTCTGTACACCAGTGGATTCTACAAAAAAGGAATCTTTTTTTCCTCATATTTCATCATCTTTTCTGATACGTAAACTTTAAGCACAGTTATAAAGCTTTTGTAGCAACTTGCTCAGTTGCCGCTGAAATGCATTCCTGAGCATCCGGGGGAGCTTGGCTCCCTGTACTGCCCGAATATTAACTGCAGCCACATTTCAGACTATGAAAACAGAGGATATTTGGATTTGAATGTGCATTTATTTAAGTAGAATTTGTGGTCTTCAGGGTGAATAGCAGAGTTTTCACATGGTACTTCAGCAATTGACTGGCATTTCTCAGTGGGCTGTATGTTCCTACCAGGTAAGGACATCAAGTCACACTGACATTCACTGTCTTCGTATCACTTAACCCTCTTCTTGCCAGTGGGTGAAATTATGGCGTGTTGAAAGACAATGGAATTCAGGATTTCTTACACACTGTTAGTGTTCAGCCTTGCTTTGGTGCTCCAGTATAAATACATTTTATATTCCTTTTATATAATCTTCTTTCGTGCTCACTAGATTGTGTGGCTAATTGAGGAGTGTCACTGGACACTGGCACTGTGGAAAGAGACAAGTATGATTTTCCAGCTCAGCCAGTCATTTTTGCAGGCAATATGCCCTTCTGAAGAGTTGAAAACCAGGTCGTTTCTGCCATGGGTAAGATGCATGGCACCAGAGAGGTGGTGTCCCACGCCGGCTCCAACACCTCCTCTAGACAGGATCTGTTCAGGACGCTTGAGGTTAGCAGTAACAGTAGTATTTCTTTTCTGACATGAGGCAGTGCTGGCAGGAAAGCTGCTATGGCAAGTATCCACGAGGAGAAGTATAGTGGCAAAAAAATGTTTCTAGGATCAGCTACCCCCCTCACTTGGGCGTATCTGGTCTGAGCTGCTTGTGGGGAATTTCAATACATCAGTTTTCAAAACTCTCTCCAAAATTCAAGCAGGTATCTGCAGCCATTTGAGACATCGCCTTTTTAAATCATGCTGCTTCATTTCATGTGTCCCAGATAACAAATCTCTTAATAGTTCATAAAAGTTCCATAGAGTATATTTTAGCTGGCTTCTTATATAGGTCTTTTGATTTAATATCCCGGGTATCTCTAACAGCAGGGATTGACTAAGATGGTCACCTCAGGACTGAAGAAATCCGGATAAGTACTGCTCTGAACAATAATTTCAAAATGGAATTAATTTTGGTTTGTATTTGTCTGATATGATATTCCAGTTCCTGTCTTAGCGTGTAGTTATCGGTGTTTTCTCCAGCTCTTTTTGCCTTTAGTGCCTTCTGGGTAGTGGAGAAATGGCATGCTGGAAATGCAACAGAGAGATAATAACAGATCACTCCAAGGACATTATCTATTCTGCTAACCATCTAACATGCAGCAGGGAATGTAATATGACAATAAAGCATTTATCTTCTAGTTACTGAAATGTTCATAGTATCAAAACAAAGTTGACTGTTGCTCGATGCACTAACATTACTTATCCCTTTTGCTACTGATAGTTACAGCTGCTATTTTTTTTCTGCTCTCAGACTGCAGGATTTCAGGAGATTCTGACTGAAATTGAAATTTTAGCTTTGATTGTGGGATGCTTATGTCATGACCTTGACCACAGGGGAACCAACAATGCCTTTCAAGCCAAGTAAGTTTTCTAATTCTTATTACTTTAATTTGTTTTTCTTCCACAGAAGAGCAAAAGGTGACCAGGATAAAGAATGAAGCATTAATTTCAGGCCTCCTAGGCCAAGGCCAAGTATTCCTATTCTTGTATGTAGTGAGGGACTATCCATCTTTATCATTCTCTGTTCTTTTGGGTAATTGCTGGCTTGTCCTTTGTATCAGGCTGTTGATTGGGTTACCTGACACCGCATATTGAAACATGGCGCTAAAACTTGATGTTCTTCCCCGGCTCAGGTGTTGTTGATTCTGGTATTCAACCCAGGAAACACTGAAACTGTCCATCTGGGTTGTTCTTGCTGGCTGGAAAGCATGATGTTAAGCAAAACCTTGTTCAGCTATTAAGAAGAAAATAAAATAGGTAAAACTGAAATAATGCTTTCAGAAAAACTTTCACACCCGTATAGGCAAGTAATTCCTAGCTTACTCAGTATGAAACCGCTGCCATCATGCTGGAGCTCTAATGCATGCTGCCCGCAGGGGGTGGCTGAACTAGTTGCCTCACCACATACCCATCAGCTCCGGAGCATGCAGGGTCCCTGCCTGCAGAGATGCCTCCTGCCCGGCCTGCCCCACACGCCAGAGCACACAGCAGACGTGCTGCAGGGTGCAGGGGCAAGGTGGCCACCCCCGGCAATGGTCAGTACTCACCAGAACACGAAGCTGGATCTCAAAGGTAGATTCGTACATCACCTGTGTGAAATCTTGCTCTATTTTATTCTATTCAAAGTGCTTAGGTCCTGATTCAGCAGCCCTGACTTGCATATATTTTTACTGTCCAGGCTGCTGCCCTCAGACATAGTGAGGCAGAAGCAGGTTTGTGGAACATTTGAGGGTACTTCTTACTGTGGTGGTAATGGAACTCCCTGACCAAGGTAAAATTCTTTTCAAAATCTGTGTTCCCTGAGAACGGGGGGACAACAGGAAATGTCCCCTGACAACATCCTGGCCAAGCTGTGAAATAAAGCTGTCAGACACAGAGACTCCTCCAAATGCCATTTCGTTTTCTTGACTTCCTGGGTCCTCTAGTCAGAATATGAGACCTTGAGGCTCCCTTGTCCTGCAGATCCCAGCATGCCTTTGCAGCTTTGTCCGTTCTGCATTACTGCTAATCCTCCAGCGTGACCGGGAAGTGGTCAGATGGTTCTTCAAAGATATTTGAAAGGCAGGGTGATGTGTTAGCCTATTTTGTCCTACCTTTTGCAGAAATACTCTGCTGTAGTGTGTGTATGCAGGGGCGGCTGCGTTATCTGGGGGCGAGTTGCCTCAGTGAACATCACTCAAACTGATGTTTCTGATATTCGCTAAGCTGCCCTTTCCTGAGCTATTGGTGTTGCTGTACGGTCTCGATGAAACAATGACACTGTCTGGATCTTCAATCACCCTAGCAAGGAAAATCAATCGCAGTGCTCAAAAGACAGAGCGCATGGTGCAAAGGTTACCAAGCACTGCTAGATGCCTTTTTGCAGCTGAGTCTTGAAGAGAATCAAAGAAGACGAGACAAATGGAAAGCAAGCTCAGCTGATTGATGTTTATGTTCCTAATTTACAAAAACGAGACCTAAGATTTACATCCTGACTGTTTTAGACTCTGATTAAGTTTACCACTTCTCCAGTGTAACATTACACAACAATATCTCTTGTGCAGAGAGATGGCTGAGTTAAAGGCAGCAGTTTCAGCGTCACACTGCTATCACTTATACTTGTTGTTTGACAACAGAGTACAAAGAGGAGGCTACCATTTTACGACTCCATAAAGAAATTGCTGAAGACATGTAACAAAAGACAAACATTACCACACATGTATAAAACATCCCTGAAAACAGAAGCTGTAGTTTTTATAACAGCAGCTATGATTTATTCCTCTAACCTGACTTCTAAATTAAAGCATCACATTTTCCTATTTTAGCTTCAGTGTTCAATACCGCTGTTCTGTGTGATGAAAGTTCAAGAGGTGTATGATGGAGGCAATATCACAGTTGTCTGAAATGGCTCTGTTATATATCTCAACACCACGTTCTCTAGGGATGATGTTTCCTGGACATCCTTCTCTCTAATATAGCTGCTTCTGATAATTAAATATCAGTATGGTGCAGCTTTATAGTGTGCGCTCCTAGGAAGCTCTTCCTGTTTGTCTTTAGCATAATCTCTTATTCTCATTTCTTTGGAAAGAAAACCCATCTTGTCGCTTTAGGCAGCATCACAGAAGTGAAGTAATGGTGAACAGTAACTATTCTGACAGCCCAGTCCTGTTCGCTGCACCTTCCAACGATTTGCAATTTTATAATTGTATTCTGTAGATTTTTGTTCTTAAAACTTAGAAAACCCACCTGCTTTGTGCATTTTGAAGCTAATTTTGGTTTAGACAATAAACATGATGAGAAAATATATTCTAAAGAGATGCTAAACTTTACTTTTATATTCACTGCTCTCACTTCTGGTTTCTTGTTTACGTTAGTATTTTTTTAAGTGCATGGTTTTACCTACAGATGGAACCTCACTGCATTTGCAGTTATTTTTTTGTTGTTGTGTTTTGGGTTTTTTTAAAGAGTTTATAATCACCCACTGTAAGCCACTGTGATTATGTCTATTACAAATTAAAAATAAAAAGTAGTAGCCGGGGAGCCGGTTGCAGCTCAGGGACGTTACTGTTTGTCCTTACTGCACAGTGATGCGCCCCTGCTGTTGCACTGCTGAGGCACTTTAAACATTGCATTACAAAATTTCATGTAGTTCCAGGAAAATCTTCAGTCAGCTGGTGATATTTAGCAAGGTCTGGAACATAAATTCCCTCTCTCTGGCTTTAAATTAGTATTTTGATCTTGTCAGATGTCCCAAGTGTGGTTGCTGAAATGGAGAGTGTGGCTAATGTGCTTTTGTTACTAAATTGTCTCTGAAACTTGCTTCGTAAGCAGACGAGCAGTATTTGTTGACTCCCCACGTTCTGTTCCAGAAGCGGATCAGCCTTAGCTCAGCTCTACGGCACCTCTGCTACCTTGGAGCACCACCATTTCAATCATGCTGTCATGATTCTCCAAAGTGAGGTACAAAAGCTTTACTATTAATCTCACTGTAAACTGTTGGGCAGCTTCAGCTGGAGAAAGGAAATACCACACACAGTACCTTTTTAATGCCCTCTCCTTGAGGAATTATTTATTGGTTACCACAAAGGTCACAACCAGCACAAAATTAAACAACTACAAATGCTGATCATACAGCCCAGAGATTATATTTGTCTCAATCAGCTAGGGGCAAGGAGAACATATCCTAATCATTACTGTCAGCTTTTCTCAGTCGTCTTACATATATCCTGCTCGGTGGTTTACAGGTAGGCAAACGAGCTCTTACGTTTCCCCACAGGTGTTACATTGAGAGTATCACAGTCATCCTTCACTGGACCAATTTAATTTCTTCAACAGTCTTTCTGTAATCAGTATTTATATGGCATTTTTGAATAGTTTTACTAAATGATTTTTTTAAATGATATCGGTAATATTGTGGTGTCCAAAGAGCACTAGCTGCTTTGCAGATACATTTAAAGACATAGTTCTTGCCTAGAATATATTATGTGCAACAGTATGCAGCATGCACTACCCCAGAGATGTAGTAAGTGAGAAAAGTAGAAGGATGGACATGCAGTCTTTACAAAACAATGGATGTATTTTCTTAATTGACACAGATAGGTGGTTACAAAACACATTCAGTATCTATAAAACACAACTGGAGACCATATGCTGATCTGCAGTAGCTTTTTGAAGAGCATCTGGGAATGTCCCATGACAAACAAATGGGAACAGGGTGGTGGCTTTGCCTCTGTGTACAGCACCTCAGAGATTAGCCAGGGGACTGTGGCTTTAGCGTTCAGTTTATCAACGTTATACTAAAAAAGTAAACATAGGAAAGAAAAGCACCAGCATGAGATTTAAACAGCTCAATCTGCCTAGCCTAGCCTAGTTTATCTAAAAGGTGACACTAGGAATTAAATGGCTCCTTATATTACCAAGGGAAGGCATAAGAAAAAGCAGCATTTGAAAGTTAGACTGGTTCAGAATAGGAAAAAAAGAAGGGGATTTTGTTTTTTGATTCTTTCCTAAAACAATGAGACTGTTCAGCCTCTGGAACAAGTTTTCCTGGGAAACAGCGATTTCTCCAGTTCCTGAAATTTTTCATCAGAAATTAATGTCTCTCTGAAGACAAGCTTAAGACATGGACAACTGTGGAATTTTATAGCTCCTGTCAGTCTAGATGCTTTTTTTTTTTTATCTTTTCCAGCTTAAAAATTAAGAAAATTACAAAAAAAAGTACTTTTTTCCTTGTATTCTACTCCAGCTTCTTTCAGAGATGTAAAACATTACGTGAAATGCAAACCTTCCTCTTTGATCATTCAGGCAGCTTCTTCTCCAGGTCCTCATTTCTAGCTCAGAAAATTAATCCAATGGGATTTTAATCCAATAGATACTGTTTGCTAATGGAACACAACACCCCTTAGTTTCGAGCAAATGCAGATTTGGATCCTCCAATGTACTTAAAGATACACCAACTTTCACCAGATAAGAAATTGGTCTCCTCTCTCAAATAAGATAAAATTAGATTATATTCTGTCCACTAATGTTGATATTCTAGTCTGTCTTTGCTATCTAGAATGGAACAGAGTATATTGTATTACATCTTTAGATTTTTATCAGGTTGGACAAAGGAACTATGTATCCTTTACTCTTGACATGCTAACCTCAGTATAAGTGATCTTGAACTTTGTAGTGGCATGGTTTTATACCCCATGAAATAGGTCAGAAAGGCAACAGATACTACAGAATAACAGACAACTTGGTAAATTACCCCTGTAGTAAGAGTTGCTGTATTCCTGATACATTTTACTTTATCTTCTTCTGAGTACTTTGGTTTTAAAATTGTTTTTCATAAATAAGCTTTAGATTCTCCAATCCTAGTCAATATTTAGCCAAAAAGAAATGATCATTTCATTGTCTCAGAGAAGACCATCTTTTATGCATGGCAAATTCTTTTTTTAGACCAATAACCAGCTGATATATTAAAAAATACCATCCCTACCTCCAGAGCTTATCTCTTCTGTCTCTCAGACCATAGTGATATAGCAATCCTGTTGCTGGAAAATTCTTATTTTTAAGGGCATTTTAAACTTCCTAAGCAGTAGATGGCAGTGCATACTGAACGTGTGCATTACAGTGTTAAATACCACCGAAATAAGAGTCTGTTCAGCAAGAACCTTGTTACTTCTATAGGCGATAAGGGGAAAAAATATATGTAGTACTTTTATTTATGTTAATTTAGTTATATGTCACAAAGACCACTTCTGAAGCTTACATTTAGAATTTTCCATTAATTTTGTTTCTTTCAGCTTATTTTCTCTAGAATTTTGCAGAGAAATTATAGGACCTCTCTCCCTCTTAGTTTTCAGAAATCAAATTGCAAGAGGAGCATCCTGCTTTCAAATAGCAATATTAAATAATTTGTTTCCTTTCATTCTGGCCATGGAGCACCTTCCAAATTCTTAATCCCTGATCCCTTAAAAAGTAGCTTATTGGGCCTACAGAGGGCATTTAAACTGCGTAAAGTTGTGGTTCTTTAGCCTGCGTAGGGAATGCTTGTATACAACACGCTGTAAGACAGCGTAGTAATGGGCAGAGGGAGCAAATGGGCTGTTCTGAGTGAAAAACTGATTTAGTGCCTTGGACTGCTCTAACAGCAGTTTGTGTGCCTGCAAGCTGCAGCACAGATAAATCTGTTAGGAGCACAACTCAAAAGCTGCAATGCACAGCTCCCCAAAACATTTAAGAAGAGGAAAGATTGAGATGTATCCATAGTTTTTCCCCATAAACTGAGTCTGTGCAGGGTCAGAACAAAGAGTAAATCTTTCCCCCAGAGGCTGTAATTTCAGCAGAGTTTAGAAAAACATCCTAGGTGCTTGATTACAAACATCAACTCTTCCACCCCAATGTAATCTCAGCAGTATTAACATTATTATTTTGTCATAGTTTTGCCATGAATCAGAAAACGCCTCTGTTACAGGGAAACAGTAGACTAAAGAGTCAGAAAACCTTTTAAAAACCTGTATTGATTGCTAGCCCTTTACCTCTTTTATCTCTTTCATTACAGGGTCACAACATCTTTGCTAACTTGTCCTCTAAGGACTACAGTGACCTTATGCAGCTTCTAAAGCAATCGATATTGGCAACAGACCTCACTCTGTATTTTGAGTAAGTATTGGCATTTCTTGTATTTGACAAATGAAAATTCGAAGAACTCACTCTAATGACCTATTAAATACCAATAAGGATGTATAATATGAGAAATTAGTGTTTGGCTGTGGTTGAAGAGATTTAGTCTAATACTTAGTATATCTTAGGCTAATAGAAGTATCTCAAGTGTCCAAGTAAGTTTTGCTTTAATTTGTAGCATGTCTGTATCAACAAAAAGCAAGTGAAATCCTAGGCTTATACTTCAACTCAATCCCAGGAATCAGTCACAGCTCAGTCCCATAATTCTGTCCCTTCCGTGATCGTTTCTTCAGGCACGTAGAAAATCAGCGACATTTTAGAATTCTTTTCCACCATTTCAGAGTTTCTAAACATGTATGCCAAGAAATATTGCCCAGTTGCAGAGGTAATGAAAGCACGCAGATTACTTATTTGAAGACAAATTGTGCCAGTTTGCATCAGATGAGAATAGGTCTTAAAAAGCTTAACTCAAGAGAAGTACAATAGGATCTCGCTCATCCAGTTTTCTTCCTTTTCCTTGTTTGCAAATCAAATCTCTCAGTAAACTTCAAGTTGGTGCTATTTTATGTTTTTCAAATATTGTTAATTATTACCAAGCTGTTCCCACTGAGAATGTGCGGGAGCATGCGCGTAGTTGGAGGAGTTGTGATGTTACTTTTGACACCACCCTCTCTGGCACGTGCCTGTGGCTGACTTAGAGAAGTGCTGTCAGATGTGCAGTTTCAGCCTAATACGTTCCCAGTCTTGACAATAATTAATCCTTAGGAATTGTATTTTTTTTATGTCCGTTATCATCCTATCCCAAACAGCGCTGGGTAGCATTTAGTAATGGTTTTCTCAGCTTTCAGGGGGATATACCTGGATTCCCCACCTCTTTTGTGCTGATGGTTGATACCAAACCAAGTTTCCAGAGAACTTCAGGCAAAGTCTTTACCCTGAAATTGTTCAACTATCTGTATCAACATTGTATCTTTAACTGTTCATTGTAAAAATACTAACCAGGATGCTGCAATGTTTGATTTGTCTTTTTTTCCTCAGAATTTTATTACTGTGCCAAGGGCTGTTTCTAAACAGTATTGGCAGTAGACACACTGATATTCTTTGTTACTGCAAGTCTATTCTCAGAGAAGTTGTGTCAAGAAAGGGTTTTAATGAATAGTTTTATTATGAGTAACTTCTAAACATTTGTCCAATGAAGAAATTTCTGCTTGCTGACATGAAAATCCTGAGCAGGACAAATAAACTCTTTCAAGCATACTCTGTTTGAAGATGTCTGTTAGGGTCACTTGTACCTGGGGGGCTAGTACGGCAGGGGAGTTTGCTGACAGCTTTAAGCGAGAAACAGGGACCGAAGGGATGTGTCAGTACTGGTTCTCCTGTCTCCCCACAAATAACAAGTGCTGCAGGAAAGTTCTGTGCTGTGCGAGAAGACATGAGCAGCAGGGCTGAGAGGGCAGGCAAGGCACCCCTGGCCAGGGTCCCCAGCCCCCGGGAGCCCCCGGGAGCACCAGGGAGGGCCTGGGGCTGTGCCTCGGGAGGGAGCCCAGCCCAGGCCCAGGGGCGATGGAGCTCTCTTCCCTGCCTGCCTGGGGTTGAAAACTACATGGTCAAGCTGCCAGCTGAATTTCAGGATCATTCTTCCCTGCTTGCATAATTGATTTTTTTTGCGCTACATGAATCAGAAAACTTCTAGCAAATGAGGCCTCTTTACTCAGAAGTCTGCAAATGTTGTCTTTTCCTCTTGTGTTACTATGATTCATTAATCAGGTAGTTGTTACGCGACTTTAATTCCATAAGTGCCTGAAAATCACTGCCTGGAAACGCTGATGATTTACACTTCTTAAAGCCACCCTATGCGAACAGCTGTTTCCGCACAAGTACCTAACTTCTTTTTTCAGTTTGCTACCTCTTCAGTATTTTTGCAGAGAAGGAAATTCTCATATCAGTATTCTTAGAATACCTAAACCTAATGATCACGAAGTCCAGCTAGCAGAACAGCAATGAAACTCCAGACAGAGCAAGGCTTTACAACTTTCTCAGGGCAAAACTTTTCTACAAACAAACAAAAAGATGACTTTCAGTGAAAGATCAGATGGAAAATATACTTGATTTTAGTAGATAATTCTAGATAATGATGTTTGTAGATAATGCAACCACCAAAAGCATGGAACCAAAATGAAGTTTGTGGAAATTCACTCAAATGATGTCTTGAGCAACTGGATTTGCTGTGTACAGCAAAACAACTTTCCCTTCCAGGAAAAATGCAACCAGAGTCAGTGTTAGTCAAAGACATTGCAAGATTGTTATCTTTCTGTTTATTTCTTAAATCCTGGCATATTATGTTTGCTTAGTAATAGCCAACCTCTTCCTTTTGGATACCATGCATAAGCAACCAGTAGGACACACTAAATTGTTTCCTTTTATGTGGCTGCTTTCCTCAGGTTGACTCCTTCATATGCTAGAAATTCTGTGCGGAGTTGGACTACTACTTCTACATCCCTTTAAATGGATTTCAAAGAAAAATCTTATTTTAAAGTTTTCAGCTTAACATCCAGTCTTGAGACTCACAACATTTTCGGTTGCTGTTTACAGATCTCTAAATTTGAATGTTTGAGGTTTCTGGGGTGTCACCTTCCTGAGCTTTCAGCTTTAAACATTCTTGCCTGTCTTTTGCCTAGTAACATATGAATTGCTCAGAACATCCAATACTCCAAAAAAGAACTGCCAAATTTTACATTGTTAGACTGGGCACTGAAATAAAGGATGCAAAATCCACTGCTCGCTGTCTTTATAGAGTATATAGTTGTTGGTGATCTACTCAGGATTAGGCTGGTTTAAGGTTTATGTGCCAACTACTCTTGGCCATTAAAATTTTCCTCTTTATTTCCTCTGAGGCCATGATTCCTCTGTGTGAGAGAACTGAATTTTGTTTTCTGCATGTGTGACTTTGCATTGCACCAGCAAATTTTGCAGTGTGAAACACTTTCATGAAACACGAGGGATTAGATATCATCACATAGTCTTTGTATCTGCCTGTTCCAGTTGCTGTCGTGAAATCCCTTATAGTAGGAGTGACTGGTCATAGATTGCATGACAGACAGTGACCGGAAAAATGCAGCGTGCCCCGTGAAGAATTCTGTCCATTGATCAAGAGCCATGTTCCTGAAGTGTGCATCTCCGTGTGTGTAAAACCTGTACTGGCTGCTGTCATACTGTGCTTTCAGTAGTGATTGCTCAAAATTTCAGTCTAGCTGAAGTAAATGTAGAAAATACAAGACTTTGAAAACTCTCTCCTGTTGGGGAATCTTCACTACATTTCCACTTGACAAAGGGATAGCACAGTCTCCTATGAGATGGGGCACTGAGCTGTCACTCAGAACATGGGTACTTGCTTTCCAGCTTTGATGCAAATACATTGTGTCACCCTGGGCAAGTAACTCCGTATTTTTGTACCTCAACTCCCGCTATATCTGGGACAGGGTCTGTTCCATATTGTAGTCACACCGTGTGCAGTAAAGAACTGCATGGAGTCTCAGTGCCATAAAAAATTGCAGGCTATGATGAGTCAGAATTTTGGTATTAAAGGCACCAAACAAGCATTAATATATTCTGGCTCATGTTTTGTCCATCTCTGAGGACATAGGCAAGCTATTCTAGAAGACAAAGCATGGGGCCAAGCAGGGAGACCGAGTTTCGAGTCCATAAGAACTACTAACTCGAGACATCTGCAGCTCCTGTGTCTCACTGTTCTGTTCTGTGTGCTGGAAATAACAGGAATTGCACGTCTCTTGAAAACCCTTCAGGACACAGAAGTGCAAAAACGTTTTGCAAGGACATGTAAAGAGAATTGTGTCTATATTTCAGGGGTATTTCTATTGTCTGTCTGTCCACTGCTGTAGCTGAACATTTCATGCTTCCACGGAAGACTGAACATTTTGGTGCCATTTATTTCCTTATCTGCGAAGACCATAAATACAATATTGCTTTTACTAGGCAGCTCTGACATTGATAACAGACATTTATAGAACATGTTCGGAAATTAGTATGTTTCGCTTAAATGGACTGTCAGTGTAACGACTTTAACAGTAATACATGAGGTGGAAAGATTTTGTATCATCCAGAGAACTGTGTTTCCACTGCAGTGCTGCCCTGGAAGTGTCTTGTTTCCTTCTCTAATAATCTGTTTTGTTGCAGGAGAAGGACCGAGTTTTTTGAACTTGTCAGTAAAGGTGGTTATGATTGGAATATAAAAAACCACCGAGAAATATTTCGGTGAGCACTACTATTTCTTGCTTTCAGGTTATTTCAAAGTGTAGCCGTATTTGTTTAAGGAATTTCATATATCATGGAGTGAAGACTGAGAGCAACAAAAGAAGGTAGCTTATTTTAAAAATATGATCCATGAGATGAAACACATAGTATGAATTCTAAACACTACCAAGCAGCAGGGATGTAATCAGTGTGACCTCACCTTCTCCATTCCTCTTTCTGCCTTCACACTCTGTCATGTTTTCTTCCCTTTCTACCAGCCTCACCAGTTACCGTTCAGCCCTTCCGCTCTTTCTCCAGAAAGCATCAATATTCTGCCGCAGGACACAAAGCTCTTGCTTGTCTGTTTCCCCATTCCCTCCTCTCAGCTGTTTTCTTTCACTGGCCATGCTTCTCTGCTCTTCCAGCCTGTACCTGGGAATTTGCAGATACACGGTACTCTGCTAGCCCTCAAGAATGATCTGAGCATGCATCCTCCTGAAAACCCCAGACATTGGGAGCGGTTGGAGTACACCATGCTTATGAGATAATAAAATGTGTGCGTTTGCATATGCATTCCTGATTATGTCTCGTTTTAGCTGAAATTTCATTAAAAATCTGTTTCCTTTCGGTCTTTTGACCAAAATATTGGCCATTTTCTATTTTCCATGTCATTTCACCCATTCCTAACTTTAGATTCAGGCAATATATTTGATGCTTCATTTTCAGTGCCCTTGTTCTTCATTTAAACTTTCTTAGACTTTTATCTGCATCATGTACTGTACATAAACGCTTTCTACAGCTGAATGGTTTCTTTCTCCTAATGCATATAAAACATGGTTGTAGCTAGGTATTAAACTACAGTGGAACAGTATAGCTTGTAGTAAATCTTAAATTTTTATTGTAGATGAGCAGTAGAAACTGCTTAAACAGTGTCTGGGATGCCTTCTGTGATTATAGGTTCTCTTGCTACAGCAGTCACTTACAAATAGGCATATAAATTAATTCAGTTTGCAGGTGTTATTATGTAATAATACCCTTACATCATGTGAAGCACATGCTTTCTAGTATATTATAGATATTAATATAAGTAGTGTAAGAGGTATTGCAAAATTAGCAGTTATTCCCTTGCAATGTAATTTCTTTTCTAGTCTGTGATGCACAGTAGCAAAATTCATTGTCTGAAGACCTGCAATGCGTTAGGCTTCTGAGGCACAATTGTGATGTAAAAGCCATGCTGATGGCTGAGATTTCAAACATGTCATTCTTTTCTGGAGGAAAAGAAAGTGCCAGGGCTGACATTTTATATATGTATTATTTATTTATGCATCCAGAGCAGAGTTGTTTAGAAATCCAACAAAGGTTGATTCAGCTTGTATTCTTCATTTCTGTTTTTCAGATCAATGCTAATGACAGCCTGTGACCTTGGAGCTGTGACCAAACCGTGGGAGATTTCAAGACAGGCAAGTCATGATTAATAGCAGGGCTGGGAGGAGGCGGGACTGGGAGGACAATATTCCCAGGGCCCTGGCTTACTAGGGACCAAAACTGGAATCAATTTACAGCGGTATTAATGCTATAAAAAAATAGCAGGGGGTTTCTGCGAGAAATGCTTTATAGCATAATCTTTCCATGTACACATGCTGGTGAGCAGCATGTAGGTACCTGAAGAGATCTGATTTTACAACCTCTCCTTTTATTAACCTTTTAAATCCGTACCAAAAAAAATGCATGGATTAAACAAAAAGAAGCGTTAGCCACATGTAGCTGCGCTTACTTGTTTTGTCCCAAAGTTTTCCTTGGCACTGGCAGAATCTTCCCTAAACCAAAAAAAAGTGCAGATGATCTGCAAGCTTTGATTAACATAAAATCTTCAGTATATGTGATAAGGGAAATGTATTTGTTTTCTCAACACTGATGGAAAAAAACTGCAAGTGTAGCATAGAGCATTTTTTAGCATCCTGTACTTAGAACCAAACAAATAAAAATTCAGGCTTCTGCCGCCGAGTAGGATCTTTGGAAATATACATAAAACTTGGGCCCAGCATTGGCAAACAATTACAATGTGAGAAATCAGTCTCTCCCAAAGTCTTGTCCTTTACCACATAATGTTCCTTCTTCTAGGCATCTTTCCTTACTCGGCATCCATCCTCAATATGTCCTTTACTGAGGTCCAGAAGAAGCCAGTAGAAGGCAGGCTGTGTACGGTTTTGGAGGAACATACAGCATCAAGAGGCAAATAGGAATGTACCAGTGCAGCGGATTGTGGAGTTTGACTGGCATAACAGCAAAGTGATAGTTAAAAAGATGGGGCGAAAAAGAGAAGCTAGACCAGAGAACTAGTGAGGCAGAAGCACACAGATTTCCTGGAGAAGGACAAGGAAGTAACACAAGCTGCAAGAGAGTTGTCCTCCTTTCTGGTAGTACAAAAGTTACATGCACATTGACTCGGTAAAAAAGCATTTATGTTGTGAGGGCTTCAGCTCAGCTTGCAATTTTGTCAGATGAGGTTTTTTTGCTTTTATAAGCAAACTATGATAACAGTCCTTCTAAGGCTGTTACTCTACTCAGCCAGAAGAACATGGTCACCACACATGGAAATCAGGGAAGCTGCTCATATCCTGCAGCGGGAAAATGAGTCACAAGATTTTTCAGTGCCACCGAGCCACAGCTGCAGTGTGTGCAATCTGTCCTCATTTTTCCTTTTTAACCCAGTTATCTTCTCCTTTTTCGTTGACAGCCAAAATGTCAGGCAGGGTCTTTTATCCGTGTTGTCAAGCTTTGTGCTATTGTGCTGAATTAGCACTGAAGTCTCTGGCAGACTGGGTTTTCATCCTTAATGCTTTTGAGGTCTGCAGGTGAAAATTCCCCTGCAGCCTAGTGTACAGATTTACTTTATATTGAAAAATCCAGTCTGGGATTGATTGAAACATTACCTGGTTGAGTAATAAGTCCACAGAGGGAAAACAGGAAATAGTTGGACCTCAACTGTGCCAAAAGGAAAAAAAAACATGAAAAGCGAGGGAGAAAGAGATTAAAATACATGAATCAAAGGGAATAAAGGCTACTTGCAAGAAGGAAAAATTCAGGAAGAGAAGATAGTGATGCCGTGAAAAGCCGAAATTGAAGACTCAATAGTCGGCAGACTATTAAGCAGGTATTCTTTATTGCGGCGCCGGGCACATGGGGGATCTCTCCTCCAAACGTGTGCACCGAAGAGACACAGTTACTAGGTATTTATGCTATGTTAACATACATATTCATTACATTTCCAAGAAATGTTTATCATAGTAATGGCTTTTCCGAGAATTCATTAATATATGGTAATGTCCATCGCACATGTTTGTTTGGCGTCTCTCGGCAGGGGTCTTCAGATTATCCTGCAGCCTCCTTATCTCTGTAGTTTGCATACCTGTTCTCCCAAGGCCCAGGCGCCTAAAGGGATTATTCAGGAGTCCCTTGTCTTGCAACCATCCCAATTATTCACAAAGAACCAAGACTTGTTTCTGACCACCTGAAGTGATAACATCCCCTACATGTTACATTTGTTACATTTACAGTTATCAATAGAAACAGACAAAAGAAGAGGAAAAGGGACACAAGGACAGGATCAGAATAGTGGTGAGAGACGGGGTGAGACTACATCTTGATTATTTTTACACAATACACTTGGCAAACTCTTAATTGCTGCTAAGTTGTTAAATTATTCCTCTATCTGGAGTATTGATCCAGAATTTTATTAGTGCGCTGGGATTACATACATTATAACGTTCCAAACTGTGCGATAGCCTGGCTTAAGATTGAAGAGTAATTTATACCATTATTTCACCTACTTCCAATTTATTTTGGTACTCCTTATTTCAACTATAACAAGTTTAGGATTTGTGAATGTTAGCTACCATGCAGTTCCTAGACTAAGAAATGTTGAGATTTTATGAAGAGCAGGTTCTCTCCTTTGTTCACCCTCTTGTGCCTTGGCATTATGAAATAATTTCCTAACTTGAAAACAATAAGGAGGCATGACAGGAGTTTTAGAAACTGAGTGCCATCTTCAGTAGATTAGTTTCCCTTTTTGCATCTCAGATGTCACATATGTCTACCTTCTAAGCCCCACAGATGAGAAGAGTACAATACCTGAAGGCTACTATATCAGGATTGCTCACTGTTTGACTTCCTCAGATTCCTGTTGTTTCTGTAACTAATTTTGTTTTTAAATCTTGTGTTCTCCTGCGAAGCACAAGCCTCTGCTGAGAGGAGGATATCTTCATTCACAAAAATCAGAAAGATGCATTCCAACTCCCAACCCACCAGTTCTTGATTTTGGTTCAATATGATAATCACAATCCGAGTTCATATTTAGATACTTAGTTCCTATAGTGATGACAGTCATGGGAAAAAAGTAAAGCCTCATGGGGAAAAGAAACTTTATGACTTCACGTTAAATATAAGACAACAGAGGTTCTGAAGTTGTTTATACAGGACAATAACCTGTAAATACCCAGAGAGCTCTTGCACATTTTACAAAGCATTTTTACAGACATAATTGTGCATGCCAACAAGAAGGTATCATTTTCTGTTCTGTTCCCAATACTTGAGGACGTTGCATATAACTGCACTGAGTGCTTCCTCGACATTGCAATGCCATTCCCTCAGTCAATTCCCTATCAAAAAGGGGTAAGTGTGCCTACCAGAGATTATGGCTGTTTATATCCCCTGTATGCCCCGTCCTGAAAACTATACAAACAAGTGCCTGACATCAGTCATGTAAGTGGGGCTATTCACTTCTTTACAGTTAACCTCAGGCTGAAGTCATGGTCTGAGTAAGATCTCATTACCCTAAAAATTATGTAGCAACAACACTAATCTTTATTATTATTTATGTTTTAGGCAGCTGAGCTGGTAACCAGTGAGTTCTTTGAACAAGGAGACAGAGAAAGATCTGAACTCAAACTCACCCCTTCAGTAAGTTTTTGTCACTTCTGAAATAGTTACTAACTTGAATAGGAGAAGAAAATATCAGGTTCACTCAGAAAAACTAACTACATTTTGTATCTAATGAAAAATCCTGGAATAAATAAAAGCTCTGTCCGATAAGGATGTGCATTTAGAGCCATATGTAAAAGCTGTCCAGTCAACTCAGTCACTTTTGCATTGAGCCCTTCTCCCAATTGTCTGTACCTATTCCCAAGGTTATTGTCAGTTAATTTTCTAAGCAACAGGTAATTTTTAATACACAGTATTCAAATTAAAAATCACCAGCTACTTACGGAAATCAAAATTGTCAGCTTTACTTTATGCTGCAGCTGTCTATCTGTGTTATTTGATGTATCAAATGCTGAAAAGCATTTCTGTAGGTATACTACTAAATATAACACTGTGATTGAAAGGATACATTGGTACTGAGTGGAATATAGGCAGATGGGTATAAAGTGTCAAACAAGAACTAAGAAAAAAAGTTTCATGAAGATTTTCAGTGAATGATTTGAAGAGAAAGCCTTATCCAGGTTAAATACCTCAAAATGCTACCAAGCCATTACCTGGCGGCAGCAGGAGAAGAGTAACAGAAAGTATTATAAAGAATTTAACTTACAAGCCATTCACAAATATGGTCATGCCTCCAAAAATAAAAAAGACCATTCCAGTGGCTCAGACTTGTTCTTGCTTTGATAATACTCGCACATGAGCCTGTGGTGATGTTATACAGTCAACAAAGTTAAAAAGCATGTAGTAAACCATGCTTAGATACAATAAATGGCTTTTCACCTTGTATACTGTCAGAGGCTGGGACATTAATGGATTTGTTCCCTACAGCAGTTCTGAGTATAGATCTCAGAAAAAATGGTAGCTGTAGTCCAGTAGAAGAGTGGTCAGCCGGTCACAGTATTCACAATTCTGAGACCAAATCTAGGCCTGAATAACTGCAAGTACCATTCCATATAATATGGATGTAAGTGCCTTGATTGCCTTGTATATAAAATTTCCAAAGTGTGTTTCTCATGCTAATGAAGCATAATAGGAAGTAATTTTATTTCAACACATACATTAATGTTACCGTCTTCAAGTAGCAACGAATTCCAGTGCAAATGGCTCAGGTCCAGCAGCCTTAAGAATTATTTTAAGGTGTGTTACTACATCTACATTTTGGACATACTGTAGACTTGGTAGGAGTGCAGAGAAAGACAAAAGCCACAGCTTTCTTCTGGAGTTATGTCTTCTGAAAATCTGCGTCCAACAGCCTAGGCAGGTGAGAAAGAACAGTGTATTGCTATAAATATCTTCAGTATGTCCTCCATCATAGGAGCCCTCTCACTCTTCCTTTGGGCTCTACAGTCTGCACCAAGGAATACAGTAATTTGTGGGCCACATGTAGGATGCTTTGAAGCCATACAGCTTGAAGGAAGATTTTCCTCTCTGTTTGGCCCTTCACAATTTCAAAGAATCCAGTAAACTGATGTATTAAGTGTTTTATGTTGGGACATAAGCCACTAAATAATCACAAAGTTCATCAGTTCTAACTGTTGACAGCTAAGCGTCAAAATCATGTAGAGTTTCACCACATTAATGAGGAATTTTTAAACAAGATCAAATGCTGATTTATTTCATGACATATCACTATGACAAGCCACCTAGATAGGTATTGCTGTTACTTAGATAAGAGAGTTGTTAGTCAGCAAGATAATGTGATATTTTCTTATCACACAAATCCAGAATTTTTTCTTGCGTTGTGCTTATAACAATCTGAAAATGACAGGATTTTTCAAAATTATTTGAATAGGAAGTACAGAATACTCCAAAATCGAACCCAAGATTCTCATTTAAGCTCACTGAGTCCTTGAATCTTTCCTCCTGGTCTTATTTAGATACACTGTGTGATACCTGTTTATGTCAGAAAGAGCAGGCTACAACCAGAAGAATTCAACCAGACACTAAATGTAGCGTAATATGTGTAGTTTGGAGTTTCTAGAAGGTACAGAAGCAAAGTAAGTTTTCTCGGGAGACATCAACCTTGAGGAGATGGGCCCAGAATAAGAACAGACTTTCCACAGAAAAAGAAAGATTTAAAATTTGACATATTCAGAGAGTAAAAAGAATGCATTTGGTAAATGGATGGAACATTAGAAGGAGAATTAAAATCCTGTAGACAGAAAGCTGATGGACCCAAGTAATCTTTGACAGGGTTAAGGAGGAAACTCAACTCATGTTCAAACTCATCAGAACTCCATTTCTTCCATCTCCTTTCATTCAGTAATGGAGCCTCTTAAACATCAACTTCAACCTCTATAATTTCCTCTCTGGGGGGGTGCCACGAGCAGTCAATTTTGTTCCTCTCTTTCTAGAGGAACAAACTGATAACTGCTCCCAGAACAGATCTGTTGATTCCCCACCCTTTCGATTCAGAGACATGGCTGGTTCTCCACAAAGGGTCTGTAACTGGGAGAGAGGGAGCCAGCCCAGATCCATCACTGTTCATTTTGCTGAGCTGGAAAACCCTATGTGAGAAAAGGGAAATTTCTACTCAAAGCTATCTACTTTACATTTCTACAGGAGGTTTTTTACCAGCTCAACTCCAACTGTGGAGCTTTTATTTTACATGACAGAATTATAAAATTCAAAGACATTCAGCCTACAAATTTCAAAACAGATTTAAAATAAACAGTTTATTTTTCAGGCCAAACAAAGCAGTAGGAAGACTGCTGAAAAGATTGATTATGGTTTACAAAGTGTTCTGGTTGTGAGAATTTGATCATAGCTCCGAAGTGCTGGATGATGTGTCTGTAAAATACTCCAGTGTAATAAAGCATGACAGTTTTGTTCCCTTCTCAATTCAGGCTATTTTTGATCGGAACAGGAAAGATGAACTACCCAGGTTGCAGCTCGAATGGATTGATAGCATCTGCATGCCATTATACGAGGTAATTTTTACTTATTGCTTCTGTAGAGTCCAGAGAAGATTGTTCTTGCCTCTCTAGGGAAAAAGAGTTAGCTTACAGTGCAGCCTTGAAGGCTATGTGAACTCTTTTTCTTGGACGTTACCAAAAGTCTGAATTCTACACAGAAATCTTCACATTCCCTGAAGGAGGTAGTACCTGTAAGCATAATTCTTCTCTAACTTCTAGAAGCTGATAGGGCAACTGTTTGTTTTATGATGTTTGAGACAAACTGACTCTCATCATGGCAAGGTGTGGAGTGCTCTGCACAGAGGAGCCAGAGGGACAGCCTCGTCAGGTGCTGCTTGTCAGACCAGTCCGAACATGTGTGACCCAAAGGCTCACTCAGGGCTGAGCCTTTGCACTCCCTTCGGGCTCCTTTCCAAACTGTTCAGGGGCACTCTAGGCCAAGGCTTTAATGTCAGTGACAAATGATTTGTGGTTTAACCTGTGTGCCATTTAACTTGGAGTTTACTCTTTCAATCGTGCTTCTAGCCGGACTGCGTGGGTGTTTAGTATAAGGTGTATAAGCTCTCAAGTACTACTTTGTTAGGGTTAGAGATGACCAGAATAATGCTTCTTTCTTTTGGGATTAAACCAGTTTCGGTATTTGACTCATGTAACATAAGCTTCACCATTTAAACTTTTTCTCTCTTATCTGTATAGAAGGCAGAGCTACACGAGCAGGATGATAAATGGAAAACAACACTATAGAAAGTTAACCATCAATAACTGTGTCAGCCAGCCTTACTCCTACTCACTGAAACCACACAGGCCGCCTTATGCCACCAAAGACTGCCAGTTTGGCTGTTGATATCTAAGAAAACACGAGGATGTTCTCACTAGGCATTTTCGGGAGACTGCAACAAGTTTTCCCTGGTGCCACTGCACCCCAAACTGCCTCCCATCTGTGAGCAATGACTGAGTCAGTGACGAAACAAAGCTGAGAGCTAGGAAGCACGTACCAGCTGCCGTGTTGACATTAAACTGTGGAACTTCTGCCTGAATGTAGCTCCCCTACACACACACACTAATGGATTAGCCGTTCCTTTTCACTTTACAGACAGGATGTGTCACCAACAGCAGTCAAGGTAAGAAGGGTGACGTGCTTCCCCTGCCCTCTGTACCTTGTGGCAGTAATGAAGTGACTGCCCAGCACCAAAGGTAACTCCTGTAGTGCAACATGGACAACATACACTTGTGTAATCAGCGAGGTGGGCTACTGCTTTGCCGGTAGATCCTGTCCCTTCCTTAGGTCACTCTTTGTCATGATGAAATAACTAGATCTATGGCTTTCAAACAATTAAGGCAAGGAAAGCATAGAGGAAGAAAATAAACCTATATTTTTTAAAATATCAAGATCGCTTTAGACGAGGCAGGGGGGACTGACCTTGGATGAAAACTCTTTAAAAATAATGTTCCTTTCAATATAATAGCTCATATTACACTAGAATGCATATTATACCAGAATTTGTGATTTGTAATAGCATCTGTAATCCAAAATGTACCATAAAGCAGGAAGAGCTGATAATCAGCCCATCCTCTGCATGAGCATACTACATCTGAGCACTAAAGCTCTGGTTAGTTAGCTCCATCTTAGCAGGAGATCTCTGGGGAATATATTCACATCTGATTTCCCTGCTTTCTGCTGTCTTTGCATCATGCTGTGCAGCTATTAGCCTGCTGCTCAACAACTTAAAAAAGAGATACCATCAAACCTGGAAGTCATCGCAGCACCAGCCTTAGGGGTAAACAGAAAACTTGGTGTCGTAGTATCACACTGCGGGAAATTCTCTCTTCAATGTGAAGCCAAGTTTTAATTTTCATATCCAGCTTAATCAAACCTCAATACACATATCACATCAGCAGTGTATTCAGGCATTGTAAATCCTCCATTTAGGGCTGGCTGAACACTACAACTACGGCCAAGTCCTTGATGTCTTTTTTTTTTTTCTTTCCAAATACATTCTTTAAAATTCTGGCCTTGTAATAGATTGTAGGGACTGCATGTGGGGACAGAATGGGTTACACCATTACAAATGCAACATAAAGAGGCGGAGTGGCAGCTGACAAATTAGTAAAATCTTAGCAGTACTTATATAGCTCACTAGCATAGTGCTTATAAAAACCGTATGTTTCAAATAAGCATTTGACACTCATTTTGAAACCAGAATTATAACATTAAACCATAGAGAACAAATCAAGGCTTTTGCATACAGTTTTTTCCATGCTAGTGATTAGAAGTCCTGAATCCGTGCGGGCAGACCCTAGCATCCAGAGCCCTGCAGGGAGTTCTGTGGGGAAGGCATGCGTCCGTACCAACACAGCGGCTACAGCAGGACTAATGCTGTGCTCCGTTTTATTTGACACCCACACAGTGAGATGATCCCAGCAACCAGTGAATGCTGGTGACTCCCAGTAAACTCAGACAGGACATCAGCAGAGCCCCCTGAAATTTCCCTTGCTCAAAGTAGTTCCCAAGAGTAGGTTGTTCTTGGCAGCTGCGGATGTCTGAAGTATGCAATACAGAGGGAACTTTGCAGCCCACACTTCCAGCAGTGGTCTGACGCTACACCAGTGCTGCCGACAGCACCATAACAAACCATATCTCCTCCACAGTCAGAGCTTATGAGCTAGGACACACAGCAGAGTGCCCACAAGGAATGCTTCATACTTAAAGCAGCATATAAATTTTGCAGAGCATTTTAGAGAGTTCTGGCCTTCCTAGCCGCCTTTTTTTTTTCTCCTGACACATTTTTTGGGACTTGATCAGTCTTCTGGGGAGATCTGGCTCTACCTCCTCCTCATGCATCTGTTCTGCTTTCCTCATTTCCTGAAGGTAGCTCAAGACAACCCACTCTGAGGTGCAGTTCTTCTCCCAGGTAAAGGATAATGAAGTTTCCTTTATTGGAGGATGTCTGTCACATCCGTCTGCTTACCTGGCTAGATCTGTTTTCTGAGTTTGGCCCCTTTTTGTAAGAAGGTTTACAAGTGACTAGCAAATCCAGAAGATCTGTGGAGCTTCCATTATTAGTCCTTTTGACTGCCCCTTGGAACGCCCATCTGACCTAGAACAAAGAAAGTCAAAGATACCCAAAACATGCCATATCATAAGCTAACGTGGAGCTTGAAGCTAAATACAGATATATAATGATAGCTGGGGACAGAAAAAAAAATCAGGAATTATACACAGCTAGATTTCCCATTTTCAGGTGTCTAAATCCAAAACTTTTTTGTGTTTGCTCTATAAGGCTGGCTCTGCTCTTGGCACAAGGTAAGCCGTGGCTCTGCTCCTTTGCTTTCTCCCACCTCTGCTGCTCTGTGGGAATCAAGCCACCTCCAATTTCAAAATACCTTCGTAATCAAATCTGTTTCCTTCACACCGTGGATCAAAGATTTGTGAAGATAAAAGCTTCCCAATTTTTTGTTCATTGCTTTTTATTACACTTGGGACATTATGATTTTATTGAATTTACTTTTTTGTTACTGTAGCGATCACCGATCAGAGTATTTTTATGTGACAGTGGAGTTTTTGCCTTGAGTAGCAGAACAGCCATACATTTACTCTGAAGCTCTGATTTTAGGGGCTTTAGTTACGCTTTACTGCATCACAGTTGCTCTTCATTGAAAAATGTCAGGAAGAAAAGAGTTCATCAGTCGAGATGAGAAACAAGCTTATTAGAATAATAATTTTTAAAGAAAAATGCATTTTTTGGAACTGTAAAGGATTTCAAATCCACTAATGTAGCATGCTTCAGTATGAAGCAATCATCCCCTTTTTTCCATAGAATATTCTATAAAGGGGAACCACATGCAACTAAAGCAGAAAATCTAGGACATCCCACTGAAAATAAAGTGCTATGGCTGCACTGACAGCTGTGTTCACCACACAGAGAAAGTATTCTGTACCTATTTGGACATACATGTTCATGTAACAGGAAACAGAGTCTTGATCACTGAGACAAATTGCCTCTTTGACCCTCCAGTAAAGAGATGCTAAGAGTTTCAGCACTGACAGATTTCTCTCCTGGACTCTGTGGTTTGTGTGTACCTAAGACAGGATCAGTCACAGATTTTTCCCAAGTCAGATTAGATTTCTCTGTGGGGAGCAGACAGAGTGGGAGAGTGAAGATCTTATTCTTTTTAATCATTATTTTTCTCACAAACAACATCAAAGCTTCAGTGATTCACATCAGACAAAAGATGCCAAGTGAAGCCCAGCTCTGTTCACAGCATTGTTATGCAGAGACAGTAACACTATGAATAGCAGGGCCAAAGGCCATGCACTCTGCTGCTGGGCAGATAAATACGTAGTCAGGTAGTCAGTGACAATGACAGCAGCTATTTAAATTTCAGGGAGATGTCTTTGTGGAAGATGAAGAAGCTCACGGCTTTTACAACTTATGCGTGCCTGAGATTGCCCTGCTCACCTCTACCTTGGTGCTCCATTGACTGCTCCATTTTAGTGCTATTTTTAGTGCTATTCAAGATTTTCTTGGGTATTGAGAGCTTTAAACATATAATAGTATCTACAGAAGTGAATTTACATTACTCCATCCAAGGTTCTAGGGGCAATCTGGGAAGAGTAGAAACATTTATGTTTAGCCTAGCAAGTACTTCAAATGTTTTGAACAGAATGTGAAGGGACAGAGTCCTTCTTTATCACATTGTCTGACATACTTAGAAAGAAATCTGATCAGTCTGTCTGCAGCTCCAAGAGCTCTGATATGCCTGTCTTCCCACAGAAGATAATGTCTGGCCTTGTAATTAAATCTGTTTTTAGAGTATGATGATGTAGCTGGAATAGCATGTATTCTGCTTGTAAGCATACACTAAATGCACAGGATATCATAAATGGTAAAGCCTCTACAAAGCACCTGTCCAATAATCACGGCTACCTCTGTGCTTTAACTTCTCCAGTTCAAGAGTTGCCTTTGACATCTGAATTGGAAGTGCATATGCACGCACAGTGATTTTTTTCCAAATAGGAGGGAAAGGTCTGCTTTAAGAATCGTGCCTGCACTGCTGTGGGCTGATGCAGCCCTTCCTCAGTTACCACTTCTGTCCCTTTCCCTCAATTATGCAAAATTTAAATTTTGCACAAGAAAATATTGTATAAGAAATGCAGCGTTTGCACCACTCCTCTAAAAGTCCTGCTTGTCCCAAATGGAGTTTATGGGATGGCTTAGTCCACGCTCAGGCAAGAGTCACTGGATGCACCCAAAACAACGAGTTTTTCCTTCAGATGTTTCTGTCCCTTCTATATAGGCAGACCTGAAAAACTTCTAAAATTATTTAATGAGGAAGGGTTTATCTGTATGAACATTTTGGAAGTGGTCTGCTGTACCCACCATTCACTCGGATTGTTGGTACAAAAGTCAGAGCACTGCTGTTCTAAGTTTGCAACTGGCCAGCAGGCAGGGATAGCGCTAGGTAGCGAGCTGTTCCCCGTGAGCAATACACAGACATTCCTGAAAATATGTTCACAAGTCAGGAAGCAATCTGATCAGCTCTGTGTGATTCTCATTGAAATCAGCTTTTCCTTTGCAGTATGTTGAGGGAAGAGGAGGATAGCTTCCAATAGATCCTAAAGAGTACCATAAAGATGCACACTTTTGGCAGGGCTTATTTCCGACATTTGATTTGGACACGGAGAGAGAGAGATAATGCATCTGTGCTTCCTGGGACTCCCTGGCTGACAAGGATTAGTAAGGCTGATAGGCTCAGGATGCAGTGTGTGATACACCATGGACTGAGGCTGCACAGACGTTGGCAGATCAAATTAGTCTCACTTTGTGTTGAAATCCAGGGGGTAATATTATCCAAGGAAGAGCAGGTGCAACATATTCTGCTGTGTTTGTATGAAATTTGCTTCAGAGGAAACTTAATCAGCCAAATGCCAGTGCTGGGGGGAGCTGGTAGCTCAGGACTACATTAGGAATAAGGGTTTGTCCCAGAGAAAGGAGATTATGGCACTGCAGAAGGATCTTTCTGTAGCCTTGAAATAGGAACGCAAGTAGGTTCAGCACTTTTGTTGCCTTGTTGCTTGTCTTTTAATGATGAACCTAAACGAGGCCACCCAGAGTGAATTCTCTTGAACTTTCAGAAAACTCTGGTACTATGACTCTTTACAACTTCCGGTAATGGAATAAGCATCAGCAAACTTTTGTTTACCTCATGCCCTTAACCTAAGAGGCTGTTTTTTTCTGTTACTTTTGTACTAATAGAGAGAAAAGGTGAAAAAGAGCTACAGAAGAAAGAAAAACCAGGAAAAGAAGAAAGAATGCTTTTATTTGCAATTCCCTCCTAAGTCACTCACTATTTCACAGTGGAACATGTAAAGGCATAGTTCTGGTGGCTTCAGAGCAAGAATCTTTGTGTGTCATGAGTATCACAAACACCTTTTTACACTAGGCACAAAGATCCTGATCCTCTTTTTGTTTCCTGAGAGCAAGGAGGGATTCATTTTGCTTTTGGAAATTAACAGGACATTGTTTTTGCCAGGATTTTTGTAATTTAGTGAGCTGATTGATGAAACATTGTAATACTGTCATCAATTTTAGGAATTTACAAGTTGTTCCAAATTGCTTAGAAGATGACACAGCAAAAATGAGTACTTTTTCCCTTCAAACAAGAGTGCTTCAATTTATTTCTCAGGTAGTCATTCCAAAAAAGTCTCAACTGGAAGGGCAGGTCATCCACAAAGATATTTGGGAGAAGATAGAAAAAACAACTTTTGGTGCTCAGCCTGATCTGTGAGAAACAGTGAATAATTCATAATACTACAATTCCCGTTGCTGTCTTATTTAGAATTATCTGCCTAATGTGTTGCGAAGGACATGTGGTTGTGTGTGGAAATGTATATAAAGATCTGAGGAAGCAGACTGAAAAGTTGGCAGATAAGGTAGAAGAGACAGCCAGTAGAGGGAACTCAAATTGTACAGCAAATCCGAAAGAAGATAAATGGATAATTTAACAGCCATTCAGTTTTCAAGAAAGACAAAGCACAAACTACATTGCATCAGAAAAGGACTAGAAATGATGATGGATGAAACACTTCAAGTAAGTGTTTAACACAACAGAATCACAGTTGCCTGCAGAATTCCCAGCTGAGGGCAAATTCAAAGAACTAAATAAGGATATGAGGCTGATATGGTTTGAAGAGTTTTTCAAAATCCATTTAATAGCAAGGCAGAAGACATTGATCAGCTGCTTTTAAAAAAAAAAAAGAGTTAGAAACATTCTGTCTCTTGCATGCTTTAGATGTAGAATCAAAACCATAAACAGCAAAGCCAAATAAGAACTCGTTTATGAAATAATAACTCTTCCTCTTCTAAGCAAACCCTTGGTTTCCTGAAATTCTTATGAACAGATGAATCATTTGCAACTATAGCAACACATCAGTTGAGCTACTTCAGCAGGTACCCAGGCCGTCAGTATTGCTCTTCCCTTTTGACATGCTTGATACTGGCCAGAGCACATTTGGCTACCAGGAGCTCTGTACATATTTTCCTCCCTAAAGTACCTGGCACATTTTACCAGTGGAGAATCTTACTTTATAATCATCCCTCTGTAGTACGCATGTTTACTTACAAAGGAGTGCAGCATTACGCTTGCTAGTGTACGATCACCAGAAAGAAACATAACGCTAATTCATAGTGGAAGAGCTGAACACTTGTGCATGTATTAGATCACTTCCCAGTCACAACTGGCTTCCTTCCACACTGCTAAGAACTTCTACAGAGAAGAGGAAAGAAGCTCCTGTTTTCTGTCAGGGAAGTTAGTAGTATATTCATTTCATCTAATTACATTTTTAGGCATCAGAAAAAAACGCCCTGGCAGAAATGTGAAAGTAATGCACTGATGCGTTATGTACTTGACGACCTGGGCCCCTCCTCGGTAAGCCCTGGAAGGACTAAACAAAGTCTCCTTCAACTATGAGGGGTTTGCAGTAATTTATTTTTTTCATGACCTCAGCCTCCTCCCAAATACAGTCATTTTTTCTGGAACATAATGATTAAATACAGCCCTGAACCAGTAGGGCAAATAATTAATTCATATACACACACAGTCAAAGGTTCATAGAAGTTAATCCCTAGATCTTCTCTGCATCGCTTTGTCTTCTGTATTCTACCTATAGCAGGTCAAATTTTAGCATGATTTTTGGGTTTAGTACATGGGCATATATACAGAAATACTTCTGGATTTTCAGAACAACTTCTGTCAAGTATTTGTATTATGAAAATCAAATCTGTGGATGACTGCAGTGCAGGTTCCCTTTTATCCGAACTGATCTGCAGTTCAAGGACTTTCAGATGGATGGCTTACCTTTGGCCTATGCATTCTCACATGAAAGCCACTTCAGCAAAACTCAGGAGTCCAATTCAGCTTTGCTATAACTGGTCACGACTCTCTTGACTTCAGCAACGCTTCATATGCTTACACCAGGTCTGAATTTATCCCTATGGCTTCTCGGTCACTAGTCCTTCCTTCCAACTCAGAAACTGCCTACGTAATAAAAGTGATTCAATACAAACCACTGGGTTCCAAAGTAGAGTGAACACTGAGACCTATAACTTTTTGATATGTGCTCCGTCATAAAAATGAATATATATGGTCTTATTCCATAAACTCACTTTATAAATATTAGACCTGCAACCGTACTTCCGCGAGCTGCAATTTTGTCAAAGCACATAAGTTAAGCAAGGTCAGAATTGGTCAATATTTGGTTGAGAATCTGCAGGGGAAAAAAAAAAGGAAAAGTATATACTCTGCAGGTCCTGCAGCATTTGTAAGTTAGGGCTTACCATGCTCCTCTTTCAAAGGATTTGGTATTAATCTTAGAATAAAACAAAATGTTGTATTTACTTTAGCAATAGTTTAGACTCTGGCCACACCTCTGCTGCACCTTGTTTCAGATAACATCCTTTCCCAGAGATGAACCTGACATAGCAGATAAAGTCCTCTCCCCCCTCACCCCACCCTTCAACCTAGGAGGTAGATCTACCAACATGCCTCCACTCCCTCCTCATCACCCTCTCCCCGAAGGGGTTTGTTGCTATTTCTGCATGCTCTATGCTTTATCTAGCAAAGTATACCTAAGAAATACTTCTCTATACCCAGCGGGGAAAAACCATTCTCCCCTCCCTACCTTCTCCCATAAATAGCTTCCTCTGAATATCTCATGCTCTCCCCCTTCTGAGCTCTTCCTTCAGGCAGCCCTGCCCCTCTTCCAGGTGTGCGCAGTGTATCGCTGAAGTGCCTTTAACCTTTTCTGGTACTGGAAGAGCTTATATGTAAGAGGAGCTGTAAGTACACTGTGGGCAGAGCAGTACGTAGTCACGACAGGCACCTAAGTTATTGAAGGTGGTAAGAAAAAGCCAGTGCTACACAGCAATTTATGGAAAACCCACTTAGTTGCCCATCTGAGGCAATACAAGGATGCAAAAGGGGAACTGCAAACCCATCTGGCTTCTCCTAACGCCAGCCGCCAGCATGACCGCGCTTCCAGCCCCCTTTATCACTCTGCGATTCAGAACAGCTTCTACAGCAAAGGGGATAAAACGGGAAGGGTGGCCAGGGCTGCCCCCACCGCTGTGCAGCGGCATCAAGGGTGCAGGCGGGGGAATGCCCCCAGGCGAGGGCTTCCCTCACCCCCCGACAAAAAAAGGCGCCTCTGGAGCTGTGCGTTTCGGTGGTGGTATTCCATGTCAGACAGCTGTTGAAGACCGAGCCTCTTCCTACTAAAGCAAATACTAAACTGGGGGTTAAGAGGCTGGATACCAAGCTAGAGAGGTCACTAGCAAAGCCGTTCGTAGGAGACCTGCATCAAAAATCGTGGCATGGAGGAGCAGTACATCAAGGGGGTTTCGTGCAATAAAATGGAAAGTAAAAAGTGCAGCCAGGAGGTAGAAAACCCTGACTAGGCTACAGCCAAATAAACTTGAATAGCTTTGGGAATAAACTGGCGGTTTAATCCGGATCAGGAACAGGTGCGATGAATGTCATTCAGTAAATGGTCGAGAGCCTGCCAGAAGGGAGAGAAATGTATTGCATTTGAGATAATTTCCCAGAAGCTTCATAAAAGAAAATTGATTACTGGAATTTAATAATTAAAACAGGGCTGGATATATAGTAATCAAATGAGTTTTTAATTACATCTCAAGCAGAAATAAAATCCAGTTTGTGTACTTTGTATCAGAAAAGTCCTACTGAAGTGCTTTGGTAGCTGGAAAAAATAAAATAAAAGCTAATTTCCGTAGGAATTATACTAGTTGGTTTAATTAAAAGACTAGATCAGAATGAAAGAGTCCCAAAGTGAAAGGATACTAAATAAAGAAGCAGTGGTTTAAACATCAAATCAATGTCTGAATAAAGACATTTTATAGACCAAGTGCAAAATCTGCACTGTCAAGTATAACTAATCTAAATTAATGTATTAAAAAATAAAGTTTCTTAAAATTACGCTATATATTTTGTAAGTATTCCATAGAATTAATTACTTGTGCTATGGTAAAACTGAATATTAAAGACATGGTTTATTCTTTCTTAAATATTTCTTTTAATTTATTTCATCAAAGTTAATGTTATTAGTTAACCACTCTCGTTATTTACTTGATAACCTCTGTTGCACCTGGGTTATCAGACTCTGTAATATGCACTTAGGTACATATTTCTAAGAAATATATGTGATTACTTTGGGATTTAAAATGTGCCCACAGCTCGTAAAATACAGTGATTACAGCGGAACTGTGTGGGTGCTTCTTCAGTCCATTCCTAATCTACTCGGGCTTCTGGTCTCTGCTGTAGTCGAGGCAAAGCTCAAGCCCTTGCACTGCTCCTGGCACTGTTGGTCAGAGGGCTGTCTGCCCCTCCGTGAGAGCGTGGCACGTGCCCGGCCCTGGAGGGACGGCACAGCAGTAGGTCATCCCCAGACCTCTGCACCTGCTCCCTGGCACTGGGATTGAAAACATCATGGTCTTGTGGTCAGTCGTACAGGAGGGACACTGACATAGCCTACAGCTGTGCACCCATACTGAGACAGAGTCCACTGTTGCGATGATCTCCTTCTCCTCTGCGCTGCCTGTAGCAGGCAGGGGTTGCTGGGACAGCATTCATGACAGGAGCAGCCTGTACTGCATTTTGTGCTTACAGATTCTGAGACTGATGGGGCGTGAGTGCAGCATGCGACCTTGTGCTTGGAGAAATTTGGAATACACCGATTTAAACACCGATTTTTTTAAATTGAAAGTGTATATTGGAAAAATACTTCACAAAAACTTTTTCAAGATTTAAGAAACACCAGCAACCCTACCTGCCAGTGGATGGATACTGGCTTTGGGTGGGAGTTGCTGTCAAGAGCTGAATATCTGATGTGCTGCATCTCACACTGAGTTGGCAGTGGTAAAGCAGGTGCTAACGACAGCAGCAGTGAGCTTTTCAGGTGTTTATGGCGTATTACTGCCCTTCTGCTTTGGACTCCACCAAATCAGGTTTGGGGGACACACAATGGTCTGAAATAAAGAACTAAAAATGGGGAGCTCTGAGGCGTGGTGATGGGAATGTTATAAATCCACGTCTGTTCTATCAAATGAATGACCACCACCAGCAAGCAATACTGTCTGTGGCAGAGACCACAGTAAACTCTGCCTCTTACCCCTGACCAAGGTTGCAGAATTGTCTGCCCAGTCTGTGCCATATTCTAAGGAAATAATTCCAGGCAGATTTGCTTCGAGTTCCACACAAAACAGCTACTTCCTCATGGTGCTATTTTTCAGAAGTGCTGAGCATTCATTTTTCCTACCGAAGTAAACCGAAATTGCAAGTTTTCAGCACATCTTAAAATCAGGCCATTAACCCTTAATTATTATATAATAGCTCAATTAAAAATCCACCAAGACTTACTTCAGTAGCTAACCAAGCTCCCATGGCTTGCAGACTAGCTATAAAAAAAATCCAGTTCTTTCGTGGTGTCCGGGCTCTGGGGACCATTTAAAGTGGTCGCTGTTAACCCTGCTATTTAAAGCGAATAATGAAAACGACCAACTACAAAGGTTTCTGCTTCCCCTTTCCTTTCTTTTTCTTACAATTTTCTGCACTTTCAGAAAGACAACTTTTGCTGTCTTCTCTGTCATTATTTTTTTATCTCGCACCAACCCTTTATTTCAAAGGACGAATATGTCGTTTCCATGCTGTCAGAGAAAGCACGATACCCAACTCTCGGCAACACCCACTTCTTGCTGATCAAAAAAGCCGCAAAATACTACTGCCCTGTCCTGAAAGGGCACATGACATGACTTTCTGGGAGGTAACTGGTTAACCCTTTCTTCACATCCAGGTGCTGCTGTTACTGAGGTTCTGTCTCTCTTTAATGTAGGAACAAAACCAGGTGAAGCGCTTATGGTCTTTCCACGTAAGCATTTGATACTGAAAGGGAAGGTAAAATATACTTCTAGCAAAGGTGTACAGGGATTATATAATTTGAGGGCTGATTAAGAGCCACCTGAAACCAGATAAAAGATTCTCACTGGCTTATGTGAGCTTTAGACAGGGTATGTAGAAAAGAGGCAATTTCAGTGCAATCTAAAAAGAAAATACGTTTTTTTCTTTATTTTGAGCTCACAGAAGTGGATTTTTTGCCAGCTTTGGAAAGCACCGTTGTGGTTTACTCATCTATAGGAAATAAGAATGTAGCACTAGGGAGAATCTGAAGGTTATTTCAGCTTTGTCCAACTTGTTGTCCAACCAGTGGATCTCCTGCTCACAGATGCCAGCACCCACCAAGCCTTGGGCACTCGAGGGGTGCCTCAGATGGACTATCCTTAAGGATTATAAGAAAGTGAAAGTAGTTGAGCAGCAACTCCACCACCTTATGTGCTTTTTTTGACATTTTTAGTGGCTTACTTAAAGCCTCAGGTAAAATGAGTAAGATACAAGAGATCTCAATGGAAGCAATAAGCTTCACCTACACCAGAATTTACAGCTGGGGGTGAGGAGGGTAAGGCATGGTGCAGATCAAACTCTTTTTTCCTGTTACTCCCTGGACTGTCCATCAAAGGAGTGGAAATTTTGTGAATATTTTTTCTCTCTTTTTTTTAATCTTCCAGTGTCTAGTGAAGCTGAACGTGAAACTCAAGCCTATGCTGGACTCCGTGGCAGTAAACAGAGGTAAATGGGAGGAGCTGCACGGCAAAAGACTTCCCTCTCAGGTGCCATCCTCGTCCTCCTTCTCCTCTAGCTTTACCACGGCTCTCAGAGACATAAATTAAGCCTGCAAATGTCACTGTCGCTTTACGATAAGAGCTGTCTGAAAGGTTTTCATAAGCTTAGGCCCACCATATATTTAAGAAATGCTTTCACAGAGATGCTTAATTGATTGGATACTATCTTGATGGCAGCACAATTTGCATTTACTGGGAGGCTTAGTGGGACTGAAGGGAAGGCCTGCGGTGAGATGGCGCTGCTATCCGGAGCGACACGGAACACTTAGCACAAGAAGCATTCATTCAGCTCCACTACATTTCAACAGCTGCTGTAAAAATCTGTAAAGCTGACAACAGACTGAAATATAAGAACTTACAGCTTAATAAAATTAATAATACAGAGCAGAACTGGGATGCAAGCTGGTCAATTCATATGCAAGGAGCTGCGAGGAAACAGAATAGTATGTAATTACATTGTGGTTTTGCATCTTTTCAGTACATGTTATGAATCAATTATGCCTGCTTTTGTGATGTTCCTCTCTCACTCTTCCCTCCTCTTTTATGCCTGAATGTTCTGAAAAGCCTGCTTTGTATTCTAAAGAAGTATTTTTTTACAACAAAGCTTCTTAGTGATTGATCGGGGCCTTTAGAATTGCCTACCTTTGCTACATTTAAAAACAAACTTTATTATCTTTAAAAACACCAACCTGTCCCTGCTTCCCTGAGAAATTCGTATTAACAGTGCAGTAAATTTCTCAGCCAGGGGAAGTTTGCATAAAGGCAAAATACTGCATGGTAATTTTAGAGGTGGGGTTTTTTTTGCTTTTAAAAAATGCTCTTTTAACACATTCAGTTTTAAAAAACTCCAGTGTCCCCTAAGGAAAAGATTAATGGGCTTTAATGAAAATGAAATACAAATAAAAACCAAAATCTGTTGCCTTGTGCTTCAGATTTATATTACATTGGAAAGTGGACCACGGATAAGCCTTTCTAGTATAATTTCCAGTTGAAATTAGTATTTTGACGTGGTGGAGAGGAAGAATATCATTATACTGGACTGACTGCCTCTTACTTCCCTTGTAGTTCTTTCAGTACAACTTGAGATGCTGTTATTACAGCTAGCACAGCACTAGTCAAGGCTCACATGTAGATGTCTGTGGCAGAGGTGTTCATGAAACTCTAATCAAACACAACAGGTCACAAAACCAAACGTGTCTGGTTCTGTGGGATGATGCTAGCATTACCTGAAAGTTGGTCTCTTTCCATTACTGCAAAGATCACTGGTGTAGCAAAACTGTGATCTGCGATTTGAGGGTGCTTTCCCTGCTGTGTGACCGGACACAAGAGGAGTCATGTTGCAGTGCTTACGAATTCCTATTCATAGGGAAAAAAAGCCTTTGTACTCCATGAAAAATGGGATTCTAAATATAGGGTTGTCTGGCAGCAGAAATTAGAGCTGAATTCAGCTTAATTTTACACCTGTGCCAAACTCCATTTACTTCAGTGGAATTACATTGAACTGGCACCAACTTAACGGAAATCGGAACCTGGCCCAGCTGACCAGATGCTAAAAAGAGCTTTCCTCCTTTCTAAGGAAAGTGAGTCGCTAGCACCTTTGAAAAGCTGACTTCATCTGTCCGACAGTCAAACAGAAACAACAAATCTGCTGATCCCTTCTTTAAAAAAAAAACCACACCAAAACAAAAACCCTCTGTGCTACTAATCATGTGTCTAGGAGAATAGCCGGACATTTCAGTCCCACCGCAAGCCAATCTGTTAGTACCCAACTGAGCCACGTCACCATCTCTAGCAGAGGGGAGCAGGGAAGGAGCAGAAGCGAGACTGCACAGCAGTGAATGCATGCACCAAATGGAAATGTTTCTGCTATTATTTTACCACTTTCTTCTTCCCTGAATAAAGACAGACGCAGGATAGTACGCAGCAAGCCGTACCAAACTTATAACATGTACTTTATAGGAGAAACAGATACTAGGAACCAACATAGTACTGCTGGCAGGTACACAGAGCTTTCCTCAATTTTGATCTTGCATATTGCTAAGTATAACACAATTTATAGCGCATACCCTACAGCTTTCCCCAAGGTTGAGTCTCCCCTCATTTCCTCTCCTTTTTATTGGCTTCAGTGCGCTGTTGCCCATGGCAACACCCACCGGCAGGGATGGGGATCCAGCACCATCGCACCCTGACATACAGCTGAAGCTCTAACAATGTCAACCATCAATCAACTGACTGTTTGTAATTGCCTCCATCTATTTCTCCTGTCTTTCGGTATCTTTGCCATTGTGGGTCAAAATTCAGAAACTGCTGACTAATGTTATGGTTCTGTTCCTCCATCACAAGGAAGAAAATGAGAGAGCACGGCTAGACCTTTATCAGATTGTTCTCAGGCAAAATGAAGCAGCCCTGCTGAAACCAGGGGGCACAGCAGCGCATCTCAGAACAGCATTGGAGCTCTGAAAATGATATAGCTCAATCTTAAAAAAAACCCAAAACAACTAACCAAACCTTATACTATTTTTTTTCAACACTTAGCTTAGGAATCAGCAAAGGACTTGCATTTTTGAGAGAAAAATAAGATTCTTTGTGGAAGCATGCAGTATAGTAAAGAAACATGCTCCAATTTTCCCATGTTTTAAGATGGTGGAAAATACTTTTTAGCTAGTGCTTACAAACTTGATAGACAGAAAACGTATCTGCTTTTTGTTATTTCTGATAAACATTCTCCCAGTGCTTCGGTCAGTTTTGTCAAACTCTTCAGAGATGTGCACAGGAGAGATGACAGTGTAGGTCATTAAACTGGAATTCTCCATCTCTTGTTTCCCTGCCACTGCACTAGGAGAGATCAAAAACCCTTGAAATCAGTTTAGTTCTGCGATTGCATATAAAACACAGGTCCACAAAAGGCAAAGACAAATTAGAGGGCATGTGGAGAACCCACTGTTGCCCAGGACAGTGCTAGTAGAGCGCTGCTTGGCCTTTCCCTGGAGATGCCCAACACATTTGGGCTGCCTCAGTTAACAGACAAATCTTCATTTCTTTGCCCCAGCTGTCAGTGGAAATTTGGCCTTGAATGAGGGCTCTAGTATTTACAGTTCCAGTGCTAAAATGTGGTGAGCATGTGGACCATCCATAGGGTCACAGGGGCTGCATTCTCCCCCAAAGGTGCTTTGAGCTGGTTCTACTGCAATGCCTTTTTTCTGGGTGACCAGCTGTGCTAACCACAGCCTGCATTCGGTCGGGTTTCTGTCTCGTGAATTACGGGCCATGAGGTCTCACAGGAGCCAGTCAGCAACGCTCAATTTATCAGCAGAAAATGCTCAGGAAAAGACATGGGTCTTCATCCCCATCCTCAGAGACAGCTCAGGCCCCATGGTAATGCCACTCAGGATTCCCACCTGTGAGACCACTTACCAAAATCAACCTTTCCTCACAAAAAAAAAACCAAACCAACCAAACCCATAAATGCCTCAGCATTGCATAGGGTAGCCTGACATTCAAATCCTACTTGATTTGGCGCAGGCTTTGGAACTGTGGGTGCGCCTTCCCCGCCAGCCTGTGGGGAGTCACACGAGCGGGCTTGTCTCCTGCCCGCCTGCCGAAGCCCCGTAGGTGTGCTCAGCAAGGAGATGTGATGCCCGCTGGGAACGCCCCAACTTCTGCTTCACCCCCGGGAGACGGGCAGAGCAGACAGGCTTTGGTGGAAGAGCTCAGGAGGGGCTCGTACGCACATCCACCTGGATTAAAGCCCTCCCATGCAATGCGACACTGTGGTGGCCCCACCAGAAAACCAAACACTGTTCAAGGTGAGGAGCACCTGGGGGAGAGGCTCTCCTGTGGCTCAGACAGAAGGAGGGGTTCCCACCTCTCGAGAACAAGACATCCAAGAGGTATCTTTGTTCAAGTAGTCAAATCAGACAATTTACCCTAACAGTGCCCTATCATTTTGCCTTTCTCCCAGCCTGGGACCTACAGGCAAAACAGAAAAGCTTCACAACACAATCGAGATGCAGACAGCTGCTTCTGTCAGGAAGTGGTTCCGCTCCTACGCCAACGCAGAATCGCACTCACAAGGTCAGGCAGCAGTAGCTGAAGTGGGGGCCTCGTCTGGCAGCCGGATCCCAAGCTCCCTGGGCAGCTCTGCCACTGCCAGCCCCTCCTGACTGCGGGCCAGGGGTCTTGCCCAGAGGTCGTTAGTCTGCGTGGTGCCCTGCAGAACGTAATAGTAGAGTAGACGAGTCAGGTTCATTTCAGCTCAGGTATTCCTTCGGGCGGTGTCTGTGGTACAGCAGCTGCATTTCCCTCGACCGGTGACCTTGCTACTTGCTCCTTAGCGTGCACTGCAACCTCGCAACGTGGCCTGTAGCTATCAGCAAAGCCAATACTCTTACTCACAGGCTGCTTCCGAAAATGGCAACCAGCAGTGCCTAACATCATTTGTACTATTTAGAGGAATTAATCCTGGTGGGGAAATAGGAGTTTTATAGTCTACAGGCCAAAGTTATTTTCCCTTCATAAAATTAAAACAATTTTAGTTATTGATAGAGCATTTACGCTTTGAGTGAAGCTTTAGAACAGGTTTATTTCAAGGTTTTGTGAAACATAGGAACAGACACTTCCAATGCTTAGAGCGTTCTGGGCAAGTAAATGTAGAGCAGGGAATTTTTTTATTGGCTTTGTCGAAGAAAGAGTAGATTTTTAAAAGCAAAATTCTGTGAATGGTTTCTAACATAATGAAACGGGAGGTATAAATCACCCAAAATGGACACCCCCCGGAGATTTCCACCACATGAATGTGTCAGTATTGGAAGACATCCTGCGCATTGCTCGTTACCTGTTCTTTCTTGGATTACTTTGTATTTAATTACCCATTTATAAGCATGTTGGCCACTGCATCTTAAGTTGTGTGGGGAATACCATTATAAGCGTTGAACCATTTGCCTGTGGGAAACAACTGACACACGCACTGAAGTACTGTGTGTATTTTCTAGTGCGAGGCCTCCTACTACAGATTTTCCAACTGTGTAACTTAGGATTTCTGCATCCTTTTCCTTTTTGCATTTCAAGATCATTACCCTCATTGTTTTGCTTCAGTAGATCAAACAATGCTGATTCAGCCTTTTAAAGCATGTTTTTGAAATTAACAACTTGGTTTTACTGGTCTCTCTAAAAAAAATAAATCATTTTAATGGTTTGCTGTGATTTTTAAGAAGTTACTGTTTTTCTTTTAAACTGCCTTGTCGGGATGAATCAGAACTGCACCTGTTGCCTTACTGACGCACCCATGTAGAGGAGCAGTGAGACCACGTGCGGCTGAGTGGCTCCGACGCAGCTTTCGAAACGTGACCTTGCAGCACTCGTGCCGGGGAGCAAACCTAACGTCGCTGGATACGCGCGGCATCAGCCTGGAGCGACCAGAAACCGAATCTGGCCAGCAACGCTAACCGGGCTCGGTGCACGTACAGACATCGCACCGGTGATACGGCCCCTGGCACCAGGCGTGGCCTTCTTCGGCAGGCATACCGCGGGAGGGAGAAAACATCCCCCCAAAGAGCAGTGGATGAAGTAAGTTTCAGAAAAGCTGGAAATCCTTTTTTCTGCTTCAGGAGAGCTGGCAGGCTGTGCGAAGGTGCGGACGCCCTCCCTCCCGGCGGCGGGTGTGGGCAGGCCGCAAAGGGTCCGCGTTATGCCAGCAGACACCCCCGCGTCCTG